ACTTGCGCGCGATCCCGCTAGTGGTCATTTTGACTCTATCTCGACACCGACTCCGGGAGGATGAGGGGAGAAAGAGTGCGGTATTACATACGTTGTATATATATACTGGAAGATAGGCACCCCAAGTATATATGTCGAAATATGATAGGCTGTATGGGACAAGAACCTTTTCGCGTAAATTCTCGACTATCTGGACTTTCTGGTAACCTTGAAATCCATTATTTCACCGGCAAACTTCATGGAGGACGAACGATCTACGATCCGAAACAGTACACTACAAGCCTTAGGGGATCGAAATCAGTTTACAGTACTATCACTTGAAGAAAGGTAAGCGATAAAAGTCCTAAAAACGGACCAAAACGGACAAAGGAGGCTCTGTTGTCATTTTGGACAAAACAGACTGTAAAGAGAAAATGCTGTTATTTCTAGAAGATAGACCTCCAAAACAACTGTCTACGGACCCCACCAAAGCACAGGCTTAATCTATTGATAAAGTGTTGAAGCGTCTTACGGGGAAGAAGTAACTGTCAGGAGATATTGTTAAATCCCTCAAACAAACTGAGCCGAACACTGCGAAGATCTATGAATTATCTAAAGTTAACAAACCGAGGTCCTGCTGCGACTGATATTATCACTAATCGGCGCGCCTAACTACCAAATTTCCAAATGGCTATCCCAAGAGCTTTATCCGCTCACGAAGAATTATGAGACTTCAACTGAAACGTTAATTTGGCAAACACTTGTTTTCGGTAACTCATCATCAGGCCAAAACAGTAGCATAGAAATTGAAAATATGAGAAGTTCACAGGGTTTATAAGTGGCTCAGGAGCTATTGACACTCGTCGTTCCCACGCCACCCGCATGGCGAGGTTGGCATGTTATGGTCATTGGGTCAAGGGGGGAGGGGGAGGGTGACATAGGCTGTGAATGATGTTTGTAATTCGGTTACGTTGGGCATACATCACTGCCATCGGGAGGTTGGGGCGACCTGTAATCATCACCTGGGGTCGGCGTTGGCCACGGGAGACATAGCGCCTGTATCAACGTTTTCTGACAACATAACAGTGGATTGGCTAGCCGTACAGCCACTGCGTCTCGTTCGACTTCTGTGTAGAGGACTCATAACTGATCGTACAGCGACGGGGAATCAATGCTCGAACGGTATACCATGGCAGACAGTGGCGGACAACATTGTTACTTTTATCTTATTCGCTGTCGTTATACCGTTGTCTTACTCCAAGCCCAGACGGAGGAGACCTCGGAGTTGAACTGGCGTCCACTTCTTCATCAGCGAGTTTAAAGCCCTGCTGATGGGTTACAGGGTCAAGCTCCGTCGGCCGCGATCGAGGAAATCCGAAGCCACCCTCCACTGTCGTCCCCTCAGCTGACCGCATGACAGGGAGGATACGGACTTTCCGATGGCAGCGGGCAGGGCGTGGAACCGTGGCTCAGATGGTGGAGCGTCAAGTTTAATGACCAACTCTGACTGGAGTAAAGTATCAGGTCTTCCCGGACTGGACTTGAAGTAAGCCTGATTGGCGGTGGGGGCAAGTAAAAAGAAGCCATCTCAGTCTCCCCCATCATTACTGATATCAGTTTCTTGTCTTATTCGGTCATTTTGCATTCTAAACTGCTTAACGTCCTCCGCTTTCTGCTCTCCGACTAAATCTTGGATACGGTTAGGATATTAAAATGTCTCCTAAAGAAATTGGCGCAGTTCCTCTATAAAGAAGTCACTGGGGGTTCAGTAGTAGCCACCGGCATGCCAGGAATTTAATTACAATCCGACCACAGACAGAAATCTCGTCTGACCAGTTTGTTCGTCGGAGACGGATTTTTGAGGTCATGGCGCCCTTCGCTACTGGCGGACGATTCAGTTAGAAATAGGCAACGCCCATGGGACGCCCCGACCACAGATGAGCGCCATGTCGAGGGCAGGTCTGCTGGCAACTTACAAAGCACCCATTTGCGAAATTAAACTTGCTGCTGTGTATTTCATTTGGCGGAGGGAGTTTAATGAGGCATAGTCAAAATTAGTTTTGATTACGGTGCGCGACCGATCTCATGAAATGTTGGCCGAAATTCTGAAATTCGTTTTCGATTAGGAAGGATCACATAGGTGGTGTTGTAATATTGATTAGCGTGTAACATAATCCCATAGAATTTCGGACTCGCCAGGATGTCGGCTTTTGTATCCACTTCTTCTTGACCTCCCGCAGAAACCCTACCCGTTAAAAAATGATTACTTATGTAGCATGCATTTTTCCTATGGATTTTCGATGGTCTTATAAATTCAAATATATTTTATGGAAGACGGCTACAAAAGTAAGCTTTCTTTTACTCATTTGGTAGAAAATAACATTGCCTTTGCATTTTATACGCGAAGAAAGTGTATATTTAGGTTTTTAGAAAGTTTACCAAATCCCGAATATTTTTGAGTCTGATCTGCCAGTGCATCAATGTTCAGCGATTTCTGTCAACAAGATGCATGCTTTCCGCATAGGGAAAATCATATATTCTTCTATGCTGTTAAGACGATACCACATAGATTTCCTAAAATTTTGCAATGGATCCGAACTGTGTTGTACATTTCATGAGAAGCAGTGGTAAACGGACATGTGCGGTCATGTATGCATGGACATCGCACGGTCTTAGAAATCTCACAATTAGAAACTTTTTTAAATGCTAAGTATGCAATTTATGCGGGAATAAAATATGAAGATAATGTGATTTCCTACCAAATAAGCAAAAGAAAGCATATGTTTATGCATGTTTTTATAAAATACATTTGAATTTATAGGAACATCGAAAATCCATAGGAAGAATGCATGCTACTTAAGTTGTCCTTTTTTACAGAGTTCATATTCTGCAGAAGGTCAAGAAGGAGTGCACCCAAAAGCTGACATCCTGGCGAGTCCGAAATGCTATGATATTATTTCACACGCTAATTAATATTACAACACCACCTAAGTAATCCTTCCTAATCGAAAACGAATATCAGAATTTCGGCCAACATTTTATGAGATCGGTCACGCACTGTTGGTCAAACACTGTAGAAGACAATACACTGGACTTTACTCCCCGGTGGAAAGTTGCAAGGAAAGCAAACTTATTTGCCGGCGGAAATACGGAGAAAGACAAGGGAGACTGGAACGGCCATTTCGGCCATATACTTTATCCGCCGTTAGTCAGCCATACCGTATCACATGTCTGCATAACTCGGGATTCGAACTGAGACTGACTGCAGCATCGGGGAGGGCGCCGTTTTTTCGGGGACATGAGAGATTTAAAAAACTGCAAACAGTGTCAGTCAATGCAACTACCTAGCTAACAAACGTCAGGCAGATTACTTAGAAAATGTGGATGACGGTTATTGTTGATCAGATGTGGTTATGTAGCCGCACCTGTGGTAAACAAACCCCAGCCGCCTGTTATAAGGGACCGGTGGTGATAGGAGTTCTTACAGATGGGGCCGGAGGAGCTAACAGACGAAAAAGTCAAGTAACTGTATGCAAAAGAAAAACTAGGCATCGGTAAAGAGAAGAACCCCACTTAATTGTCAGTAGACTGTGGATCGTGCCATAAGTGATTTATGGTGAAGGGAGTTTTATGAGTGGGGCAGCACGATAGACAGTAAGCTGACAAAATGAAAGAAAGCACCAAAATTGCCTGAATTTATGCCGCAAGTCTTATCCTACGCTATTGTACGACGACGGAAATGAGAGTAGTAATTAAACAATAAGCAAGAGGTAAATTTCACAAAATAACGGATTTCGGGTTAAGGTGTGAGGTCGTGGGAAGTAATCACTGTCGGCAGTGTAATTACTGCAACAGCCTGCAAATGTATGCCAAGATACAATCCCATATGGCACAATCTACAATCTACTGACAGGTAAGTGGGGTCCTTCTCCATATCGTTGCCAAAAAAACATTTGGAATGCGCGGTTCTACTTTGAGTGGTTGGGAAATAGTTGCCCTGACCCCTAACCCCCTAACTCTGGCCCCTAACCCTAACCACCAACCCTAACCCTAGGCCCTGACAACATCGTGTTCCTCAGGCGGGGCTGCATAACCACATCTTACCGAATTGGTATTTACTTATGTCTGCTCAGAAACCGGCATTTCGTTTATGTTGTCTGCACCGTCCACTGAGACTGTATTCCCGCCTGAATGAATGTAGTCGCCTCATTTAGGACTAATTTCGATGGTGTTATTGAAACACTAATTCTGAAATGAGATATGCTTCGAGGGGATTTTGTCAAAATACCCCGTTTTCCTCTGTCCCCGAACGCTAGCCATCATCCGGGAG